GGAGGAGGATGAGGAGGAGGAGCTCCAGGCTCCAGGAGGAGAAGGAGGAGGAGGAGGAGGAGAAAAAGGAGGAAGAGAACGAGGAGGACAAGGAGGACAGGGAGGAGGAAAGCAAGGGGGGAGACCGACCAGAAGGACCCCACACCTGCTCCTGCTCGTTCCTACCCGCTCCTCCCTCCTTGAAGGCGGCGCCCGTGCCTCCACGTCGAAGTTCTCCCTGACCCACGCCTCGGCACGGCGCGAGGCGGGAGAGGCTGCGGGCGCGGCGGCCACGCGGCCTCCCACCACAGCACGAGGGGGGTGGGGAGGAGAGGGAGGAAGGGAGGGAATGGGGAGGGAGGGGGAGGGACGGGGAGGAAGGGATGGGGAGGGGGGAGGGAATGGGGAGGAGGGGGAGGAGGGGGAGGGAGGGGAGGGACGGGGAGGAGGGGGGAGGGAATGGGGAGGAGGGGGGAGGGACGGGGAGGGCGGAGGAGGCAGGGGGGAAGGAGGTGGCGGGAGGGAGGCGGGGAGGGAGGGAGGGACGCTCGTCCGCGCGCGCGCTGGCCGGGAGGCGGCGCAGGCCCACGGAGCTGGACGGGCTGCTCCGGCCGGGGGCCTCTCGCCTCTCTATAGACTTCGCCGCCCGAGAGAGCCAGGGCAGGGGCTGCGACAGCGCAGCGGCGCGCGCGCGGGGGCAGAAGCCTGGACTGGCCCTCGCCCTCCTCCTCCTCCTCTCCTCCTCCTCCTCCTCCTCCTCCTCCTCTTGCTCCTCCTCCTCCTCCTCCTCTTCCTCTTCCTCCTCCTCCCTCCCCCTCCTCCTCCTCCTCCTCCTCCTCCTCCTCCTGCTCACTTGCCGCACCCCTGCACGGCCCCAGGTCTTGCCCTGCCACTTCCGATGCACTGCCCGTGCACGCCTGTGCTCTGGCACGCGCATGCGGTATGCATACGAGATCTGCACAATCTCAGCGTGCTCCGCCGCCCACGGCTTTCAAGGTGCCCTTTCTGTTTTCCTGTGTGCCCAATTCGGCTCCGATGTGTCCATTGGCAGTCCCGACCGTGTCCTGGACACAGGTCGCCGCTGACAAGGATAAAGAACAAACAAATACTGACACAGCCACATACTCCTCAGACCTCTCCCGGGGTGCGCTCTGGCCAGGATTCCAAGGATACTCCAACCGTGGCGCCGAGGGCTTTCCATACAGGGTAAGAAGTTCGATGACCTTGACCAAGACTGAACGCTGAATCGTCTCTGCGAGTCTCAGCCATCGACAACCTTGGCCATCCTCGATTCGTGGATCATCCTCGCGAATCGGTCACGCGGCCGCCATAGATCATAGCCGATGTCGGCGTCGACAAGATCCCGCGACATCTTGGTCATGGTCAGCGCGCATCTCCCCTCGACCCCAGGACGAGCAGCGGCCATCGGTGCCCTCTCCTCCTCCGAGCAGCGGTGCGCGCGGGGCCCGAGAACCTGGCCGTGGCGTGGAGGGCTCGACAGGACGACGCAGCGGCATCGGTGCTCCTTTCCCCCCCTCATGGGCAGCGGCGCGCGTGGGGCCCGCCGCCCGCGCATGGAGCCCAGCTTCTATCCTTCACGACCACGCCGGTGACCAGCCCCGCCCCCGCCCTCCCCCTGGTCAGCTCACGATGCGCGCCGGCGCCGTGAAGGCAGGGGGAAGAAGTGGGCGAGGCAAGAGAGCACCAGGATGATGTCAGAAATGTAACGCCTACCAGGGAGGCCTCATCAGGGGCTCTCGTGGCTGCCAGTTTTTTGGAATGCGCAGTTATGGCGAGGCAGTCTCTCGCGCGTGTCTGTGTCAGACTGGCGCAGCCAGCGATGGCGTTGTAGCGAGCGGCGCCGAATCGTTGCGATTGCGTCCGCTTCGGGGCCGTTCGCGCGCGCTTCGTCGTCGCAAAAGAAAGCTTTGCCGCAGGGGTCGCCCGCTGCATGGCCAGCATGGCCTCGGGCCCAGACCACATACCAAATATTTGGCCACGCCTCGGACTGGGAAATGAATGAAGAACCCTCGGCGCGGCCAGGGCGAGTGCCTCACGAATCCTCCCTGATGACGACCGCGAGGCCTGCTCCCAGAGAGGCACCACAGTACACTGCTTCTCATGCAGCGAGAGAGACGCCAACGATCGTGGGGGGCCACATGCGAACCCTACCCCTGCCCCTAGATCGAGCCACTCCGAAGACGGGGCCCACACGAGCGGCCTGTCGCAAATCTGAGAGACCCACGCCAGCATCATCAGCACATGCACCAGCCTCTGGCCGATCCTCAGGCGGCACACGCGCAGGCACTTCGCAAAGGTGATGACGAAAAGCGTCGAACGTGATCGCCCACAACGTGACGCTAGGCGAACAGCCTTGCGCCACTCTGGCAGGGATGTACGAGAGAAGCTTTCTGGTATCCCCAACCCGCATCCAGCTCTGCATCTCATGATACATCGCCCAGATCGCGAACAAGAGTCCCAGCGGCAACGCAAGGAATTCGAGGACACCTGCGATCCGTGCCCACACCATCGAGGGGAAGGCAGCGCGTACACCGAAGGAGTAGAAACACGGTAGACGTTCAGCTGCATGAGCATGCCCACCAGCCATCCTCGCCAATGCATCCAGCTCCACAGTGTGAGCAGTGAGCTGGCGGCCTTTCATTAATCCACGCTGGATATACTATGGCAACGGGACTCTGCAACCGTTCGCAGCTGGAAGTTGACGACAGCCGCCACCGCCTTCGAGTCTGCACCAGGAGCCCACACCAGGTCAAGCAGGTCTTCAGGGCGCTCGTCCTTCGGGATGAAACGCATCATGTGATGGCTGAAGCCCTGCGGCGCGCCCAATACACGGAACATAATACCCTACACTTCTAGGTAAAGAGCCTCCCATGCTGAATCATAAGCAGTCCATGTGCGATACGGAAGCCGATCAGGACCCGGAGCACCGGGCTTGCCACGTTGGAGAAATCGTACCAACGCCGCACGCGCAGGTAGCCGTAAATCGGGCAACCCGTAGCAGGGGAGGTGGGCAACCAGGCAGGTGTCATGGCAGCGCGTGATTGTGAGGGTTCCGCACGGAAGACATCACTCCAGTGTCCACGCAAGGCAGCAGTCATGCTGCGAGCATCCCTCGCCACATCAGACGAAGCACCCACAGTGGACTCGCGGGAGTCGCCTTGGGCAACTCTGGTATAGATCTTCCCCATACTGGCTCCATCTCCTGACTCCGTTTTTCCGCGTCCAGGTCGAGAGCTCGAGGCCGTGCCAACCGACGAGGTCGAAATCGAAGACGTGGAAGACCCAGCAGAACAAGGCCTTCGTAGACCAGACGCAGAAGCCGAGGAGGAGGAGGAGGAGGAGCGAACGTAGCGTGTAGGAGGAGGAGGAGGAGGACAACGAAAGGAAGGGCGCCCCCCACCCCCCGCCAGCCTTGGCCCTCTGTCGTCATCTCTCCAACCCCCCTTCCCTCCGTCTTCGCCTCCCCCGGCACCCTCCCTCTCCCTCTGGCCCCCCCCCTCCTCCTCCTGCCGCGCTCGCCCCCCTCTCCCCCCTTGCCCGCCCCTCGTTTCCCATCCCTCCTGTCCTTGCCCCCTCCGCCCACCCCCCCCCTCATTCTCACACAGCCACGATGCCCCAAGACCGGCCCAGTGCAGCCAAAAGCCCCCCCACGGAGGCCCCAAAATGTCCCGATGCGCCCAAACAGGCCCGACTGAGCTTCCAAGAGGCGCTGGAGGAGTCCTCCATGAAGGCCCTGAACGGCCACAACTCCGACACGGCCCGAGAGCTCCCGCCAATCCAGCGGCCCCCCTCATTCTCAGAACAAGCCAGAACAGGACAGCGGCGCTGAGGCAAGGGGGCGGAGCGCCACCGTCCCGGCGAGGCGCTGGGCCAGAAGACGTGAAACGGCATGCGCGCTGAGCAAGGCAGGTTTTGCAGCAAAGCAGCCCCCCCCCCTCGTCCTCACCATCTCGCCCCCCCCCCGCCCAGAACTGCTCCACACGCGGACGGCCCTCCTCTCTCCCATGCATGGTCATGTCTGCCGGTGCCGGCGCCTCTCCCGCGCCCTGAATTCCACACAAACACACACACACACCACACACACACACACACACGGCACTCCGGCAGGTGGCTGTCGATGTGGCCCGGTTCGACCGAAGCGCTCTCGGAGCTCCAAGAACTTGCCGTCGCTCGGACGTCCATTTCCCGCGCGTTGTTCGGCGCCGTGCGTGTTTTTTGTTTTTGCTCGATGGCCCAGGATGGTCCTCGATGGTTCTCGCCGAGAGAAAAGGCACACGCCCGAGCGACGCCAAGAGAACGGTGCCTCCGCTGCTGCGCTGACCACAACCACAGGATCGGCGCCTCGTGCCCGTCGCTCTCGAGTGGCACTCTCGCCCCAGCGCGGGCAGCCTCTCTGGCTCCGCTTCCTTCCTCGTCGTTGCCGCCCCCTCCACTCCACTGCCCCGCCTTCCGCTGGTTCCCCTGCTCCCCCTCTTCCTACTCGTCCTGCTCCCCATGCTGTTGCTGCTGCTGCTGCTCCTCCTTCCTCAGTCTCCTCCTCTTCCTCCTGATCACCCTCCTGCTCATCCGCCACCTCTTCCTCCTTCGATGTTGAAGAGGCCCCTATGTGATTGCGAATCGCACGATGGGGCCACTTGGGGGATACAGCTCCTCTGGGACACCACTGTCGGCGGAAAGAGACGAATTCAGCAACAATGTGAAGGAATGGGCGGGCAGGGCAGTATACAATATATATACATATGTATATATATATATATATATACATAGAGAGAGAGAGAGATACACACATATATTACGGCGCGAGCGCGCCCAACTTGCAATCCCCCCTCTCCCTGTCCCCTCACCCCCCCGCTCCCCCTCCCCTCTCCCAGGGCCGCTCGGCCTCACTCCCCCGCCCCGGCTCGTCCCTGTCCCGCATGCCGGCAGCCAGAACCGTGGCGGGGAGGCGGCAGGGGCGCGCAGGGGGGGGCGGGGCCAGCAGGTCAGCAGAACGCTGGAATACGCCCCTACCCGTTTCCCCGCCTCCCCTCCCGCCTCTCCCACCGCCGCCCCCGCCCCTCGCGCCCCCCTCCCCGTCCGCTCCCAAGCGCCTTCCCTGACCCCACACCCACCCGCCCCTCGCGCCGCCTCACTCCCCGGTCCCCCCAAATCACCATCACCCCCTCAGCGCCTCGATCCAGATCGGCTCCTCGAGGACCTTGGCAACCATCCATTTTTGCTCCTTTGCCTCGTCTCGTGGCCCCACCCCTCGTCGTCGCCGTCGTCGTCGTCCTCCTCCTCCTACTCCGTCTCCCCTTCCTCCACTTCCTCCACTTCCTCCTCCCCGCCTGCCCCTCCAGCCCTCGAAGACTCCTCCTCGTCGCACCACCCAGGTGTCGGGATGGTGGCCTGGTCGCTTCACCCCGCACGCGCTCGTCTTCAAATCCCCTACAACTAGACGAATGTCTGCTGGGGGCCTGCAAGATGAAGCTCTCGCCTTCCAGCAGCGCAGATTCGTATCACAAGTGTCCTGGTACATGGATGTAGGACAATTCCTTGGCAAATGCGGTCTGTTGCTTCAAACTTCCTCACACTGTCGGGACAGAAAGCCACACAATGCAGCAGGGATGCAGGCTGCCTCTTTAGAAGGGGCTTTTCGCTCACGACTCCGTCCAGCCTCAGAACTGCATGTGTACAAGCGTGTAACAGCAACGCAGATGGCGGCGATCCATTTTCAAACACGTGACCACTGCTTGACATGTCCTGCGTCTGTACGGTCGTGGACCATGCCGTGTCTCAACTCGGCGGTGGACAAGCCTCCCTTTAGAAAACCACCTTTTAATAAAAACGGCCTGGGACCGAAACCAACGGAAATGGAGCCGCAAACATGACGGCCGCGACGCCCTCTCGCGAACCGAAAAAGGCCAATTCGCTAATCGACGTGTCAGGATAGGAAACTGACCAACCTCCGATTAACGCCTGATGAATGCATTGACGCCAATCCATTCTTAAAAAACGGGCCTCTCGCCTGAGCGGCAGGCGCACGGGGTGCTCGTCTTTCAACGGGGGCGCTTCCAGGGCTGAAAGCGAAAGCGCGGACGGACTTCAGGCGAGGCGGCTTGGGGAGGGAGGGTGTCTTGCAGCGTCGCTGGCACGTTCTAGGTATGCTGTAGTCCATCTCCTTCTCCTCCTCCTCCTCCTCCTCCTCCTCCTCCCCCTCATGTTTTGTTTCCTCTCTATTTTCGCTACCTCTCTCTATCTCTCTCTCTCTCTCTTCTCTTCCCTTCCCTCGAACAATATCATCTCCCATGTTATCCGCAGTCATTATAACGTCTCGTCTCGTCTCCTCCGCATCTGCCTCCTTCTGCTGCTGCGGCCTCTCATCCTCCTCATGCCGCTCATCGCCACTGGCCCTCCTACTGGGGGAAAGATACTGGTACTGCTACTCCGCTACTTCCTGGACCTCTTCTGGTGTCCATTATGACCAGGATTCTGAAGCAAACCCAGCCGCGGCGACGAGGGAAGTGTGGGGGGGGATCGGTATCTGTTGCTTCTCTGACCTCCTCCTTCTCCTCCTCCCCATCCGATCTCCCCATCCGACAGTCTCCCCCCACCTCATCCTCATCTCCATTCCCTCAGAACCACCTCCTCGGCGTCCGCCTCCTCGTCGCGCCGGGTGCCATGAAGAATGCGGCACGACGGATTTGAGGCAGGCCCCAGGTGGCCGTTCACGGGACTTCGCGAGCTGATCCGCATGTCTGCCGTGCGCCAGAGGAGGATGGCATGGGAATTTGCGTGTCGTGGCGCTGGCAGTCGTCGCGCAGCGCAGCCGTCGTTCGAGCCTGCTTGTCGCGGCGCTGGCAGTCGCGCAGCGCGGTCGAAGTCTGAGCGGGGGCACTGCAGGGCGAATGATGCACAAGCGGGCTGCAACTGCCGCCGCTGCTGCTGCCCCTGCAACTGCTCTCTGGTGCTGCCGCTCCTCCCCAACATGCCGTCCATCTCCCGTCCTCCTCCTTCTCCTCCTCCTCCTCCTCCTCCTGCTCGTCCTCCTCTTCACTCCTCGTTACGCACACTCCTCCTCCTCCTCTTCCTCCTCCGCCCTACGCATTGTCCATCCTCATCCTCCTGCCCCTCCTCCTACTACGACGTAACCTCTACCCCCCTCCTCTTCCTCGTACCCCTCCTCATGGTCCTCCTTGTCCGTCCCTCATCCTTCCTGTCCGTCCTCCTCCACCTCCCCCTCTGCCACCCCCTCCTTCTCCTCCTCGTCCTTCTCCGTCCATGCTCCCTCATACTCCTGCTCATATTCCTCCTCCTCCTCCTCCTCTTCATCCTTCCATCCACCTCCTTATCTTCCACTCAACGTTGTCCTCTTCCTCCACATCGTTATCATCATCCGTTGCACACTTTCTCCACCGATGCTGAGGGCGCGACCCGCTGCCGAGCGAGTTCCAGGTGCTGCTGCGAGAGGGGGCGGGGGCCGTTGTCCACGACCGCGAGAGGGGCGTCGAAGGCCGCGAGTCCTTACAGACCGAGGGTGATCGGAAAGACACTTGGCTCTGGATATAGACTCATCTAGACATACATATATAATGCACATGCGTGTATATACGTACTACACAAGGGCAGAACAAAAAGGATCGGGTTCTGGAGATGGGGGATGGAATGGGAAGGAGGAGGACCAAGAAGTGACGACTCATCATACGACTACCCGTAAGACGCAACAAAAGGAACGGGAACAATGACGTGGTGGATGGGCAAGAGAAGACGGAAACTGGGCACTACGGAGGCAGAATAGCAAACTAAGCAGAGGGAGCAGCACCATCAGGACCAGGAGCAAGAGGAGTAGCCTGAGCGGCAGCAGGAGGCGAAGGAGCAGAAGCAGCAGGAGTCGCAGCAGACTCAGAACCAGGAGCAGCAGCAGGAATAGCAGGATCATCTGCAGGAGCAGGAGCAGGCGACGCAGAAGGAGATGAACGGGTGGGGAGGCGAGCGATTCAAGACAATGATGCTGACGGTAAGATGTTGGCATCCGCCCCGTCCACATCATCATCATCATCATCATCACCAACATCACCAATGATATCAACCACCGCCCCCGTCCTTCGGCCTCCATTTCGTCGCGCTCATCCTGATTCCCAGCGCTATCACGCACCACTCCCACTGCTCATCCTCATCTGGATGATCACGCAAACCTCCTCCTCCACAACACCATCAGCAACATTAGCATGCGTGGTCAAATCATCATCCTACCGGTCCGCCTTCTCATTTTCTGGTGTTGCTCATTAGTTGGGTCGCTGCGTTTTCGTACGCGAGTGTTTTTTGTTCCTGCCGCCGATGCAGGCACTATGATCATGTTAGCGGTGGTGGCAGGGTGAGCATAAACCTACTGTTCGTTTTACTGTTGCGACTACTGCTGTTACTGCTACTGCTACTACCGCTGCCCCTAGCAACCATACCGCCACTAACAACACAACTTATCCGACGACAAGTGTTAACACTACTGCTGCAACCACTGCCGCTACTGCTACTGATACTGCGACTGCTACTAGCACGGCGAGTACGGCTGCTATGACTGCCACATATACGATCAGTACTACTCCAACCAACATCTACAACTACTACGACTACTACGAATAGTGCAACGATTACTACTACTACTACTACTACTACCACCACCACCACTACTATTAATACTGCTACTACTACTACTACGACGACGACTACTACTACTACTACTACTACTACTACCACTACTACTACTACTACTACTACTACTACTACTACTACTACTACTACTACTACTACTACTACTACTACTACTACTAATACTACTACTACTACTACTACTACTACTACTACTACTACTACTACTACTACTACGACTACTACGACCACTACTACTACTAAGCCTGCTACAGCCACTACTACTACGACTGCTGCGGCTACGACTACTACTACTACGCGTATTACTACTACTCATAGTCTACTATCACTACTACTACGACTACTACTACTACTGCTACTACTACTACGACGACTACTACTACTACTACAACTGCTCCGAATAATGCTCCAACCGCAACTCCCACTATCACGGCTACTACTCCTACTACTATTTACTACTACTCCTCCTCCTACTACTACTATTACTACTACTACTACTACTACTACTACTACTACGACTACTACTACTGCTACTACTACTACTACTGTTACTACGACTACGACTACTACTACGCCTACGACTACGACTGCGACTACTATGACAACGACTACTACGACTACTACTACGACTACTACTACGACTATTACTACGGCTACTACGACGACTACCCCTACTACTGCTAAAACTACCACTGCTACTGCGACTACTGCTACTACTACTGCCACTACGAAGACTACTACTACTACGACTACTACTACTACTACTGCTACTACTACTACTACTACTACTAGTACTACTACTACTACTACTACTTCTACTACTACTACTACTACTACTACCACTAGTACTACTCGTACTACTAGTACTACTAGTACTACTAGTACTACAACTGCTGTCACACTTACTATTACTACGACCACTACTACGACTACTACTACTACGACGACGGCAACTACGGCGACGACGGCGACTACAACTGCTACTACTACTACTACTGCTACTACTACTACTGCTACTACTGCTACTAATACTACTTCTACTACTACTACTACTACTACTACTACTACTACTACTACTACTGACACTATTACGACTACTACTACTACTACTACTACTACTACTACTATTACTACTACTACTACTACTACTCCTACGACTACGACTACAACTCCGAGTGCGACTACGACTAGGACTACGACTACGCCGATGACGACGACGACTACTACTACTCCTTCTACGACAACTACTGCTACTACCACAATCACTACTACCACTACTACTACTACTACTACTACTACTACTACTACTACTACTACGACTACTATTACTCAAACGACTACTACTATTACTACT